AAAAAAATGTATTTTGCTTGCTTCTTGTACCCCATTATTCTCGGTAGCCTCAACTCTCAGTCTTGTTTCTTTTAAATCAATGTAGTGAAAATTTCATAAAATATTCTGTGTGTAAATGGGCCTCTGCCTGGTTTCCAGTGCAAATACAAATCTTCCACTATTTTTAGTTATTTATGTATTTCACTGGAAATTTTAAGTAAGTGGGAATTAAATGAATGTATTTCTACTAGAATCCTTAAAAATGGTACCAATAAATTTGCTTAGGAATATTGAATTTGATATACAAATATTAAATAGTATACACAGGTGAAAATTAAGAATTCGGCCTTAGAAGAAAAGATGTATCTGCTCCATGAAGTCTTTGTAGTCATCTTATGCCTCTTTGTTTCCATAACCCTTTCCAGTTGCTTTTATAATTACAATTGGCCTATGTGGCTGTGTATATATGAATACAGTTCCGCAACTAGATTGTAATCATCTTAATAATTGGGATTATGTTTTTTTTAGTTTTTCACAACTTCAGTAATAATACTGCTCACCAATATTCATTAGATATTCATTGATTTATGTGTGTATTTTTTATCAGTTACATTTAGCTTTATGGAGGTGGCATGAAATGGAAGAGAGTTCAATATATTCAGAACAGATTTCTTTTTCAGTTTTGTAATTACAGAAAATAGTTATAGAGGGTCCTTCTTTTCTTATGAACTAGATGTTACTCTCTACCATTATGCAGTTGATTCCAAAACTACATATTTAATCAAAATTATAATTCCTCACTTAAAAGTCATGTTTTCTTAAATATATTAATGACTGATAAATAAAACTTACCATTGTTTGATAACAAGATGTTCCATAACTTAAAGAATTCTAAAATTGTTTATTCCTCTTTTTACAGGCCCTACATTTATCAAATGTTTCTCACAAAAAGTTTTCCACTGGGGAAATCATCAACTTGATGTCAGCAGATGCCCAGCAGCTCATGGACTTGACAGCCAACCTCAGTGTCCTCTGGTCAGCCCCTTTCCAAATCCTGATGGCCGTCTTTCTTCTTTGGCAAGAACTGGGTCCTGCAGTGTTAGCAGGAGTGGCAGTCCTTTTTCTTGTATTACCAATAAATGCTTTTGTTGCCATTAGAATAAAAAAGCTGAAGGTAAGAAAATCACTGCCTCCTGTTATGTGTGCTGAACAGAAGCTGAGTTTTCTGACTTGAGTTGACAATAGTCATTTGGCTAATTCTATAATTATGAAAAGTAAAGGTTATCAATGGAAACCACTCAGATTTATCATTCACTAATTCATTTAACCCATGTTGATGAGGCACTTATTCTGTGCCACTCACCACTCTAGACACAGAAAGGGCAGTAGTGAGAGGAACTGACAAGTTCCAACTCTCATGAGGCTTGTGGGGGGAGACAGATATCAAGTGGGTATTAAATAGATACATAGTAAGATGTGTATGCATAAAAATAGTCAAGATAAGGTGATAGAGGAGCAAAGAGACCTCCATATATGCAGAAGGAGGAAAGTTCTCAGGAAGGAAATGGTATGTCAACAAATGGTTGGACATCTGTGTGTATGTCTCAGAAAAAGATAAACCAAGTGAAGGGGACAATAAGTGCAAAGGCTGGAGGTGGGTATTCTCGGTTGTCTGAAGAGTGGAAAGGGCCCACGTGCTCGAATGAGCAAAGAGTGAATGCACAGTAAATTTTTCACAGAACTAATTTTGATACTCTTTCCTAACCGTCAATTTTTCATCTTTCTATCAATATCCATATATTGATAGAAAGTCTATTGACACCCATGGGGTGTCAGACAGTGTGTACTATTATGCTGTACTACAGGAAGAGAGAAACAGCATAGTTCACTCTGCTGAAGGAAATCACACTGCAATGAGAGAGAAAGATGATTCCATGCATTAAATAAGGTTACCTGAACATGAACACAGCTAGTGTTTGACAGTCAAACTGATAATGAGAAGGCTACCAAGTGACTAACAGGCATGTAGTCTACAAAGCATGGATATGTTGGACAAAGCAAGGATTCACATCCCAACAGGACAGAATGGATGAGAACAAGAGGTTTTGTCATGTTGCTCTGAGTTTAAGACTTATGAATTATTTCATTCTGGAATTTTCCATTTAATATCTTTAGACCTCTGTTGACCATTGGTAATCAAAATCACTCAAAGAGAAATCACTGATACAAAGTTGGGGACTACTATATACATATACATACATATGTCTATATAATGCTACTCCAGTATTTACAGCATGAACATACTCATGCACATGTGTGTGATAGAAATAAGTAAATGAAGATATATAACTACATATTTATTTGTCTAACTATAAAATTATCTAGAGAAAAAGGAAGAGTCTCTTATTACCCATAGAGTAGAATTAGATGTATGGGAGAGGGAAATGTTTTACTTACTTAAATAATTTAAGTGATGGAAAGTTGAATATTTTTTGTTTTTCTAAAATGTTCAAATAAAAGATGGCTAATTATAAAGATGAAAACTAGAAAATAGGATATAATTCTGAAGTATTAAACACAATGTTTTGAATAATGCTTGCTCATAATAATAATATATTTTAATTATTTTTTAAAATGTAACAAACTTTTTATATTTTAAAAAATTTTATTGATTCTTTTTAGTTATATGTGACAATAGGATTCATTCTGACATAATTATAAAAACATGGAATATAGTTTGTTCTAATTCCGTCCCCTGTACTTCCCCTTCCCCTCCTACCCTCCCTCTTCCTGTTTCCTTCACTCTGCTATACTGATCTTTCTGCCATTTATTTTTAGTTTACTTTTTTTTAAGTTAGTGACTTGTGGAGGTGTATGATGGTGAGATTCTGTTTATATTCATATATGTACATAGGAATGTTAGATCAGATTCATTCTACTGTCTTTCCCTAGCCCATCCCTCCATTTCTTCTCCCTTCCTTTCATTCCTCTTTGTCTACTCCATTGATCTTTCTTCTTTTTTTTACATGCCCCCCCCCTTATTTTGAATTAGCTTTTGGATATCAGAGGATATATTCAACCTTTGACTTTTGGGGACTGGCTCATTTCACTTAGTATAATAGTCTTCAGTTCCATCCATTTACTGGCAAATGCCATAAATTCATTTTTCTTTATGGCTGAGTAATACTCCATTGTGCATATATAACACATTTTCTAGTTTGTATTTCAGAGACTTCAGCTATATACTCTGTCCTTGAGGTCTGAAAATCTATCTTCAAAGTAGTTTAATCTATTGGTGATGCTTTCCATTGGATTTTTAATTTGATTTATTGATTACTTCATTTTGAGGATTTTTGTTTGGTTCTTTTTTAAGAATATCTACCTCTTTATTTGAAGTGATCTTTCACTTCCTATAATTTCTCTCTGATTTTATTCCTTACATCTTCTTTTAGTTCATAGAACAGTTTAACTATGAACTTTCTAAAGTACTTCTCTGGCATATTTTCCACTATGGTGTCAATAAAGTCTGCTGTTAAAGCATTATGGACTCTTTGGGATGTTTTTTTTCCCTTGCTTTTTCATATTGTTTATATGTCTACTCATCTATCAGTATAGTTCTGACTTCTTTTAAGTGAAGGACTACTTTGTGAGCTTCTTTTTCTCAAGAGCCCTGGGTTGGATAAATATTAAGATTACAATATTTTAAGTCAATGTGTGACCTCTGCTGATACCAATATCAGTACCACTTTAAGAGATTCCACTGAGTCCTTTTACTGTAATCACTTCTGAGCCAAGCCTCATTCTATTCAACTTCATAAGAAACAAACAAACAAAAAAAAACCTCATTGCAATTGTTTCCTGTAGTTCCCAAAATTCAGGTATAAACCTATTTTATAGGTTTATATAAATTCTGGAACAGGTCAAAAAATGAATTTTTAAATTTAGTAACTTACTAAAACCTTAAGTTAGGGCTAAAAGGGAAGAGAAAGAATTATTGGTCAAATGGGAGAGAAAAAAGAAGAGACAGAAAGAGAGAAGAAAAAACTATAAAAAGAGAATTTATATCAAAGTCCAAAGGGAGAAATAGATAATGGGTGT